CGCGCCGCCGGTAAAGCACCCGGTAGCCCTGAAGGAAGGGTGCTTGGCGCTCCACCTGGGGACCCAAGGGGAGGGTGGGATGGGGGGGGGGATGCTCGGCACCGGGAGCCCTATACCAGCAGCGCGGCACGGCACTCACGGTCCAGGAGAGGCGGACGGCGCCCGGCGGCAGCACCACGGGTTCCTGTAGGTGCACGGCCACTTGCGCCAGCTCCCGCTGCACCTGCTCGGGGTCCAGCCCTTGCTGCGTGGGGCTGGCGTCTGCCGAAAACATGAGAGGGTGGTGGGTTCATGGGCACCTCCATTGGCGTCATTGGGTGGCGAGGCACCCAAGGGTGGTGGGTGCGTGGACACCTCCGCCAGCATCGCCGCTGGGTCTCACCTTGGGTGCGCACGGGCTCTGAGATGCCGCTGGGGTCGCTGAGCCCGTAGGCGTTGACCGCCCGCACCAAGAAGAGGTAGACGGTGTCGGGGACGAGGCCGCTCACCGTGTGGATCTCACCCTCCACGTTGGCCGCCACTGTCCGCCATGGGCCACCCGCCGCCTGGCTGCCGGGGGACAGGGGTGACCCGTGGCGGGGTGGCACCGGGCCACTGCGTCACCCCTGCACCCAGAGAGGATGCTTGTGTGATACCTGAAAGCCTCCACGATGTAGGAGGTGACATCGGTGGCACCGCTGTCCCCGTTCCCTTTCCAGCTCAGGGTGACGCTGCTTTTGGTGACGTTGGTGACCACGGGGGTGGAGGGTGGCCCAGGGAGGACACCGGGCTTGGGGGATGGCGGAGAGAGGTCAGATCCGTCACCTGTGTGAAGACATATGGAGATCTGGGGTGGCTTCCTTCCCGGTGCCACGGTGTCCCCGGTGCGGTGACGTCCCCGTGACCCACCCTGCACCTCCAGGGAGCCGCCCCAACGTGTCTCGCCCGCCGAGCTGGTGGCCACGCACTCGTAGTGCCCGGAGTCTGTCACCTGCGAGGGGGAGAGCTCCTGCCCCATCACCCTGAGCACCCGTCACCTCGGCACCCACCATCCTGAGCACCCACCATCCTGAGCGCACGCTGCCCTGAGCACCCACTGCCCTGAGCACCCACCCCCTTTGCACCCATCACCCTGAGCACCCACCACCCGTTGCACCTACCACCCTGAGCACCCATTGCCCTTTGCACCCACCATCCTGAGCACCCACCAATCCTTGCATCCACCACCCACTGCACCCACCAACCCTGAGCACCCGCCAACCCTTGCAACCACCACCCTGAGCACCCTCCACCCCTCGCACCCACCACCGCTTACACTCACCAACCTAGGCACCCACCACCTGTTGCATCCACCACCCTTTACACCCACCACCCCTTGCATCCACAACCCTGAGCACCCACAACCCTGAGCACCCACAACCCGTTGCACCCACCACCCTGGGCACCCACCACCCGTTGCGTCCACCACCAGTTGCATCCACCACCCTGGGCACCTGTTGCCCTTTACACCCACCACCCCAAGCACCCACCACCCCTTGCACCCACACACCTGAGCACCCACCACCCTGGGCACCCATCACCCTGAGCTTCCACCACCCTCGGCACCCATCACCCTTTGCACCCAACACCCCTTGCACCCACCACCCTTTGTGCCCACCACCCCAAGTACCCACCACCCTTTGCAAACACCACCCATCGCACCCACCACCCATCGCACCCATCACCCTTCGCACCCACCCCCCTTCGCACCCACCACCCCTTGCACCCACCACCCATCGCACCCATCACCCTTCGCACCCACCACCCCTTGCACCCACCACCCTTCGCACCCACCACCCTTTGTGCCCACCACCCCAAGTACCCACCACCCTTTGCAAACACCACCCATTGCACCCACCACCCATCACCCTTCGCACCCACCACCCCTTGCACCCACCACCCCTTGCACCCACCACCCCTTGCACCCACCACCCTTTGTGCCCACCACCCCAAGTACCCACCACCCTTTGCAAACACCACCCATTGCACCCACCACCCATCACCCTTCGCACCCACCACCCCTTGCACCCACCACCCCTTGCACCCACCACCCTTTGTGCCCACCACCCCAAGTACCCACCACCCTTTGCAAACACCACCCATTGCACCCACCACCCATCACCCTTCGCACCCACCACCCCTTGCACCCACCACCCCTTGCACCCACCACCCTTCGC